TGTGTGTGTGTGTGTGTGTGTGTGTGTGTGTGTGTGTGTGTGTGTGTGTGTGTGTGTGCGCGCGTGCGTGCGTTCTCCTCTTTTCAAGTCCTGGTTATATCCTATCATCTAAATAATATTCCGGTGTTTATCGACCTATGTCTATCTTGTTTTAATCGCCTGCATGTCCGGCACTACTCCCACGTCTACGCCCACGATACCTTTCTCCACAGCTGCGTCGGAAGCATGTCTCTATATATTTACTTGGTAGAAACATTACTTTTACGTTTACATTGTCATCATCGTAGTTATAACTCGTCATGTAGATGCTTTAATTGATACAAGTTGTAATTGTAATCACATTGTAATGATGCAAGTGTGGGCTCGCTTTCAATCCTATATGGCGAAGCACAATGGAATGCGCGGGAAGAGGGAAAGCGCTCGTGGGCACGCATCCGCTGGGGCAAATGCATGACGGAGCGCTCGCGGTAAAGCTATAGCAAATACAGGGAATCTCGCACAACGGAAATGTGGTCTGAGCGTCTTTTGTTGGCAGCATCAATTACACTGCCACGTTCAATCATGTGTGATGCCTGACATCTGATAACAGGCAGGCATGACACCGCGATTATGAAGGTCCTTCGCACGTCGTCGCGGGCCTTCGCACAAGCGCGCCAGGTGACACATGAACAATATCATACGTATGTATAGGGTGGAGCTAGAAAGTCGCTACGTCTCACACGAGCGCCACATGATGTCATTATGCCGCAGTAAAAATGATCGATGTAGGTGATCATAACACGTTATTATAGGTCGCCATGTTTGCCACTGAATTCTCGGTTATTACGGTTTCGTGTTACATACACAAACATTGATGCGCGCCGCCACCTCGCTGGGTGCGCTGCGTGCGAAAACTCACTGCTTCAATGAACCGAAGAGAAGTGAGAATAACAGCCAGAATGCTATCACGTCATCGTGAGCATGACAGAACTAGATGGGTGGGCGACTGTATAGCGTGGTTGTACCAACCAGGGCAGCCTCGTAGCTAGTACTGTGGCAGAGCGAAGGGCTATAGTTCTAGAGCTACCTCGTAGTGTGGCAAAGTTTGCTTGGCGAATCTATCGCTCAATCTCACCGACTGCTACGACTTTTAAGGATGCCCGGATGACAGGCACAAGCATACTGCCTATCCGTGACGAGTAGTTATGGCGAAGAACTTATTTCTTTTTTTCTCGTGTAATAAAACATATATATATATCGTACATTTATCACAACCCTATTTTTACATGTGCCCCTCTAGGCGAAGCGCTAGTTGTTCTTTGATTGATTGACGAGCACAAACATACTGCCTATCAGCGTTATTACAGCCATCGCATTCCTTTTTCCTCGCGCACAAAAAAAAGAAATATTCTGTATATTAATTACGCGTGTATTTTTTGACACCTTGCACCCCTTTAGGCGAAGCGCGGTTTGTCTGTTTGTTGATCGCGTTTCGGGGCGGAATGTTTTGCTCTTGGTGGCAGCCAAAGGTCTGAAGTTCCCCGAACCTTGTGTTTAGGGGGCGCATGCAATCGATTACCCCTCGCAGCGACGCGACAAACAAGTTTTTTTGCTGGTAAACATAGGGAGAGCATTCCAGAGGTGTGCTCACGCCTGTTTTGCGTGGGCAGAGAGAGCGAGAGAGAGTGAGAGAGAGACAGAAAGGAGAGATTTTCTCGCGAGCTATTTGGCAACGTTTAAACTGCGCGTCACTGCGCGTGAAGGATGCGCCTGTCAACACGCCAAGCTACTCCCATAGCGCGAGTTTACATAAGACTTTCACTTTTTTGGAGTGTGGTCTGAGTGTGCGTGACAGGACTATGGGCACTATACGCATGCGCCATACAGACACTGAGATGAATGGACTTTCGAGTAATTGTAGGCGATGGTGGTGGTAGTTTGGTATATACGACGTCGTCAGTGATTGACTGAAGCGGTATGTGTGGCACTGTATAAGCCAGCTACACAAGGTCTGCGCGTGTTAGAAACTTCCGTACATTGAGCAGCACCTCAAAGAAAGACTTTATGCTCTCAAGGGCACCCCGAGAGCACACTTTGAGGTCAGCGCAAAGCAAATCGTACAAGTTGGTACCAGTATATCAGAAGTCTCGCTAGATGGCAACAGAGCGCGGGGCAGGAGACGGCATTCAGTTTAATGAGGGCCGAGTGAAATGTATGCGAATGCGGAGAGAATAAATACACCTCTGTCTTTTTTTCTCTTTCTCTCCTTTTCAGTGTGTGTGTGTGTGTGTGTGCGTGCGTGCGTGCGTGCGTGCGTGCGTGCTTGCGTGTGTGTGCGTGCGTGCGTCCGTGCGTGCGTGTGCGTGCGTCCGTGCGTGCGTGCGTGTGTGTGTCTCTGTGTGTGTGTGTGTGTGTGTGTGTGTGTGTGTGTGTGTGTGCGAGCGTGTGAGCGCGCGCGAGTATGATGTGCTCGACAGAACACAGAACAACTAAGACAGAACACGGGCCGGTCCTCCGGCCGTTATTCAGAACTGCTAGCGAGCGGCAGAGTCGCGGCGGCGAACGACAGCGGCCAGTCCTCCTCATCACTTGCTTGCCTCTGCTCACGAACCCTGGACCGACATCACCGCGCGTGACGACCGGACGATGCGCTGTATTCACGCTGCGGTATGCATTGCGCTTAGCCTCGAATTTGCGATGAAGGTTGAGGAGGGTTTGATGAAGGTTCTAACCTAATTACCGGCGAGTGGCCGAGGTTCCCACAGTACAGCGGCTGCGATCAACGAACGACTCCGCTAAGTAAGAATGCGGCGTCGGTGAAAGTTTCCGTCGGCGACGCGCGTGTATCAAAGGACGATAGGGCGGTAGGCGCCCGCGAGCACGCACGCGCGCGTGCATCAAAGGACGGGAGGGCGAGCGGTAGGCGCCCGCGAGCATGCACGCGCGCGTGCATCAAAGGACGGGAGGGCGGGCGGTAGGCGCCCGCAAGCATGCACGCGCGCGTGCATAAGAGGACGGGAGGGCGGGCAGTTGGCGCCTCCGAGCACGCACGCGCGCGTGCATCAAAGGACGGGAGGACGGGCGGTAGGCGCCCGCGAGCACGCACGCGCGTGCATCAAAAGACGATAGGGCTGTAGGCGCGCGCGTGCATCAAAGGACAGGAGGGAGGGCGGTAGGCGCCCTGCGAGCACGCACGCGCGCGTGCGCGTGTGGCGGCGCATACTTAATGCACTGTTAATTGCGTTGGCCCTGACCAGCTTCCGCTACCGAAGAATGCTGCGAAATCAGCGCGCGCGCCTGAGAACGAAAGTTGCAGCCTTACAGCCAAAACTGGGCCAAAGTATTGGCTTTATGGCCCGTCGAGACGCGATCGTGACAAGATTCACTTTCATAAGGCGCAGCCGGGCGTGATCCGGGCCGCAAGCACTGCGGAGATGTATCATGGGCATCGCAAGCCGTAAAAGACCAGAGATGCCGGTAGTAAATACACACACGCAGAGATACCGGTACTAAATACACACACGCAGAGATACCGGTACTAAATACACGTAAGCAAAGATGCTGGCCTTCCGAGCGAGATGTACGCAAACGCTACGTCGGTTTCGTTTTGAATTACGGTCACGGAACAAGATGTCCTTAAACTACCTCATTGTGCAGATCGCGCGCTGGAGCTGCGATCCACCGTCACGTAGGCCTGGGTGAATGCGCGCACACTCGCTTTCCACTCCTAATATTCGCTCATGCGAGTTGCAGCAGACGCGGTAATTTTAACTGAATTACGTTGTGCACCTGCACTCGAATACGAACACACACCCGCACCTTCGGGCATGGCCATTGTTTCATCGAAGGACATTGGCCCGGGTGAGACATGCCCTACGCGTCCGCGTCTGACTGTCATATAAAGAGATCGCAACGATATCGAACTCGACGCAAATTACCAACGCGCGAGGTTACGAAAAGTTTACCCGCGAAAAATTTTCCGATTTGTTGCGCCGACTGTTCAAACTCTCGGCAAATCACAGCGACAGCGAAACTAATCTCGCCATCTAACGTCACCACTAATGTTCGTTCGTCGTGGTTATTGCAGGTGGCATTTCTCTCGCGACGGGCCGGAAATGGAAGGAGAACCGGCAGTTCACGATCAAGGCCCTCGCTCGGCTAGGCGTCGCTGACCGATCGGTCGAGAGCAGGATCGTACGCGAGGTGGACTCCCTTCTCTCCGTCATGGCCACCGTCGACAGTCACCTGTTCAACCCGGCCGTCATCTGCAGCTGCATCGCCAACGTCATGTGCGACATCATCTTCGGCCGACGCTACGCGCACGACGACCCGGAGATGATGAAGTACGTCGCCGAGATGCAGGAGGGCTTCGTGCTGATGGCGCACCTGGGCATTCTGAATTTCCTGCCCGCGCTGCGACACCTGCCTATGACGCGCAAGCCGCTGGCACGACTCAACGTCACCAAGGCGGCAGCGCACTCGTTCTTCGCCAACCACGTGCGCGAGCACATGGCCACCTTCGATCCGGAGAACATCAGAGACTTCATCGATACCTACCTGGAGGAGGCGAGGAAGCGAGCGCAGGTGGATGCAAACTGCAATCTATTGGAAGGTGAGTCGCGCCGCTGCTGCGTTAATTTGTGTATTACTCCCGTCCAGGCACGGCCTATTTACGGCGTACGCGTCATGCTATTGATATTATCAGGCGTGTATAATATAGTCTCTAATATATCTATCTATCTATCATCTATCTATCTATCTATCTATCTATCTATCTATCTATCTATCTATCTATCTATCTATCTATCTATCTATCTATCATCTATCTATCTATCTATCTATCTATCTATCTATGCTATCTAATCATATCTATCTATCTATCTATCTATCTATCTATCTATCTATCTATCTATCTATCTATATATATATATATATATATATTATGACACTCCTGATACTATCGATGCCGAAACCTCGCATGATACCGAGCGCAAAACGCCCTCGGTTGATGAGTGAACGAGAAAATGCATATTATATTTCTGATTTTCATGTTGAGTAGGCTATTCATTAATCGCATTGCATGACCCACGTCAATGGGTCTCCATATTTGGTCTGCCCACCATGAGAGAAGCCGCTCCCGTTTATTAGATCGATTTCTTTTCCTGTGACTACTTTAAACTAAGCTCTAGGTTCCCGAATAGCGAGTGGCGCTAACAGACGACCCTCGTATTTCTCAGTATGAAGTAAAGTTCTAGTATAATCTTCATAATTCTTTATATATATAGTATATTTCTCCGTCTGTGAAAGCTTTCGTAAATGCGTTTACGAATTAAGCGCGTTTACGAATTAGACGCGTTCATGAATAAAGCGCGCTCACGAATTAAACTCCTCGCCACAACAAACACTAATAACCGTCTTGTTGTCGCTTGCTTCCACCACGCAGATGATTACGTGCTGCATCTAGTCGGAGACCTATTCGGATCTGGATTCGTCACCACGGCGCACACGATCATCTGGGGCCTGCTGTACATGTCGCGGCACGGCGACGTGCAGCGCCGAGTGCAGGCGGAGATTGGTGAACAGATCGGCGAAGGTCGAGCCCCGAACCTTGCCGACATGAGCGAGCTGCCGTACACCGTCGCCGTCGTGCACGAGGTGTTACGGTTTAAGACGGTGGCGCCGCTCGGCGTTCCGCACGCGAACACGAAGGATCTGGTCGTGCGCGGATATCACATTCCGAAGGGCACCTTCATCATGCCGCTGCTGCACGCGGTGCATCACAGCGAGATGCACTGGAAGAATCCGACGGAGTTCGATCCCACGAACTTTCTCGACAGCGACGGGCGTTTGAAGATTCCGTCAGCCTTCATGCCCTTCTCTTCAGGTACTTAAACCTCTTCGGGAAAAAATACCCCCTTTGACGAAAAAACGAGTATTAGAAATTAGAATCCCTTTATCTTTGGCTGATTCTAAAGAAAATGGTGGGGGGAATCCTCCGCGGAAAACTAAAATTTATACACTAAAAACAGCGCGAGTTGGCCATGGCCTTACATGGTCGCAATACACGGAGAAACTGAGCTTAAGTAAAATAATAGCTATCCGTGTAATGCAGAGGCAGTGTAAGTATCCAGGCTCACAGATAATGACACATACAGATAATATTGACCTTATCATTGTAATAAAATTACAATTGCTATGAGTTTGTTTGTCAATGCATATTTTGCAAAGGCAAATGCAATGCAAATGAAAGATCTAACGTGGTTCTGCTACTTTCTACGCAGGCAAACGAATTTGTCCAGGAGGTCAGCTGGCCATGTACGAAACGTTTCTATTCCTGGCGAGCATTCTACAACGTTTCACCGTCACGCTTCCAGAGGGCGCACCAGTGCCTGATCTTATCGGCAAGCTGGGTGTTACGCTAGCTCCACCGACATTCGACCTACTCATCACAGCTCGGTGATACGATTGCATTCGGTTGAAAGTGTACTGTGATATATAATATGTGTAGATAGGTCTCGCCTGCATGTATAATACGTTCATTCATACCAAATGTGCGAGGACGTAGCGCGTTATAACGATCATTTATCACTATCTTTACGTAATCATCCTGTTTTATTCACGCCAGAGAGCATGCAATTACAGTTGTATATATAATTATAATACACAGCGTCACTTCACTATAGGCACTTGTGTCGTTTTCACAACGTAGCGCGGGAGACTCTGTAATTAATTGCAGTTCTATTATGTGCAGTTGTGAGCAACAAGGAGCATTGCGAGCAACGAAAGCAGTAGTTAGTTAGCACGAGTTCCGTGCTCGCTTTGAAATTAAAAATAAAATTGCTCTGTATTTCACAGATCTGGTGGACCATCATTGCTCATAGCATTGAATGTTTCGTAATGTTAAGGCATTTAAATGAATGCACTGAAAATATCATATTACTATAGTTTGTGATCTATTGTAAGTTATTTAACTATATATATTCGTTTTACACGTCGAGTTTATATGTTATTTAAATTTACAAAAACAAGTCACAGAAAAGTGCATTTGCGTACTCATTGCGTGTATCTCTACGTTCATTATTATAGTTACATGTCATATATGTAGTTATATTATGTACGACGCATTACCATCTACGAAAAAATGTGTTGAGTAAGTAACTACACCCAATCCCTTCGCAATATCAGGTGTGATCACTGCAATTTTCACGATTTTAATTTTTACATTAATTTTTGTAAGTTATGATCATTCAGGTTATCATATATTATGATGTTATTGCTAAAATATTGTCGTTTCACGAGGTTTCTATGGTTACACAGGTTACTAATCAAAATCGTCGTTCTCATCGCTGTATAGTCATCTGTCCAACGACGTGTTGTGTGTTAGTGTGCATGAAATGAAAAACGCTTCAAGTTCACTTGTTATCACGAGAATAATCGATGACTATATAGGCAAGCGAGCATATTCTGTAGAGAGGATGTATAAAAAACCGAGCGCAGCTATGTGGGGTGACGTGTTACTTCGCCATATCTGTTTTTTTGTCTGCGTTGTAATACGTCATCGCCTGTGGCGCTACGCGATCATCTACTCGATTACATCCTGCGGAATACTACTCGTCAATATACTACCCCGTGTGTCTGTTTCTCCGTACGTAATCCGTATCCCAAATTCCTATAATTTACGCTTCAACTAAATACAGCTTACATTAGTGCGGTTCGTTGTCCTGCTAAACCTTTACGATGATGACACGCGTGGGTGGCGAGCGACCGGCGCTGGGCGGATTGCATACGCCTGGTCACCGCCTCTCGTGGTGTATGCATACATGAGGGTACATTACTCATACTAACTTCATCACGGTCTCCTAGTTATTTAATAATATTAAGTAAATAAAACCCACGTCCGTGAAACGATATGGTTAGACGTCATCTAAATGTCAGATATTGAAATACTTCCGATTGCTGTATATGATATATGCGATATATGAATATGTTAAATACATTGTACTCGAGCCAGAGAGGATATTGCAATAAGTTTCAAGTGGGGTTGAAGGAAATTGCATGCGCAATTTGCGTAGTCATTTCTATATATGTAGTGAAAACATTACTGTAAAATGCACTATTGAATATATTTACTCTCTTGGTAAACATATTTTGTTTGTCTTTTCGTCTGCACTCCCAGCAATGCCAACGATTTCTCCAACTTTCTCCACTGTGTTCCTTGATGGCGGTGAAATTAATTTTCTAAACTTCATTGACGTTATTGATGATGCAGTTATTACTGCTGTTTTTGTTGCTGCTGTTGCTGTTCCTGTTGCTGTTGGTGTTGTTGTTGTCGTCGTTGTTGTTGTTGTTGCTGCTGCTGCTGATTATGATGATGGTGCATGATTATTATGAATATGATGGTGATGATGATGATGATGATGATGATGATGATGATGATGATGATGATGATGATGATGATGATAATGATGATGATGATGATGATGATGATGATGATGATGATGATGATGATGATGATGATGATGAAGATGATGATGATCACGATAACAACAACCATGACGCGAATGATATTGTTATCAACGGGGAACTATAATGGGTTGTAATTTATATAACTAAAATACTAGAATGCCAAATATAATATTGGTATAATTAAAACTCACTCGGAAAAGATTAAACGTCTGTAAAGATAGGTGTATTTAATTAATTATTGCATTCAATTAATATAATTTTATTATAACCGTTTAAATGATAATTATTGTTTCAAGAATCTATCTATAAGAACCCTAAGAACTCTAATAACCTAATACATTAGACGACATTTCTGACGAATTAGTGTACTTTCGGGTAGAAAGCACGCATCCCTATTTACCACGCAGTCTGTCTCTGCCCTTATTACAAGTATCCTTCATTCGTGACTGTGTACATTCAGTGTCCAGAGAAAAGTTTAACAGCGATTAACTTAAACCTGCGACCAATTCTGTTTAGTCCTATGTAGTGTTCTGTTTGGCCACGGGGTCTCTCTAATGCCCATGCTGAGTGTCTAGCGACTTGATCCGTCGTACTTCATTGTATTTGTCTCAATAATCCTAAAATAAAGTCATCCACGACACAACGGGTACGTCTTACACGTGGCAGCTTATATGGACGAGTTTAACACAAAAGCCCGCACTTCTCTACGAAGATTTTTAGATCAACATGCCATATAAACTACAACAAAAGCTGGACGGTAAGGTCTATAAGGTTAGATATATATATATATATAGTGAAGTGAGAGAGTGGGATTTCCTGGTTGCAGTTGCCTCCCTTGTTGTGGTGCACCCATTTTACGTAACTGAGGCTATGGGACTAAGTGATATTACGAAAATTATCACTTCACTAATATAGACAGCTCGGCAGATGTTGATATTTCGTTTAATGGTCGCTCAAAGACCAATTACCTGCAAATATTCTCACGCGTCAGAATGTAGGTACCTATATGAGAATTTTATGGTCGCGGAAATTTCAAGTTTACGCATCTGAAACGTCCAATTAACATACATATTGCAATAATTTCACGTTCATAAGAAGACTCAATATATATTCATATTTCTAGTAAAAGCAAAATAAATTACGATTCATTAAGCCCTTGTGTAAATTGCCCCAGTACAAATGCCCGTGCTCACCACTAAATATCTACATTTATCGCATCATTTCAATGGATGTGTGCAAATACTTCACATTATGAAATTAGTTCTTTTACAATATTTGTCTTTCCGTCACAAAACATGACGTCCGAATATGATTAAAAAAACGTCCCATTTTCTCGAGCCATTATTGCGGTTTTTCGGAAAGTTGCGCGGTAAATACGAAGTAAAAGTTCCATTTTTGCATAGCCTCGCGAAGTCATAATATATATATATACATTTTTGAAAGAACTCACATGAAAGTGATTCATAAATATCGCGCATGGTCCGAATCCTCGACTACATTCGACATCTCTCGCCGGTACAACACGGCGGCCGAGCGAGATCGAAATCTCCCGCCGGCTGTTTAACATGCACTAGCCGTTCGCAATTGTGTCCTGTGTCAACACACGTTTGTGACATGGCCGTGGATGAGCGCAGCTCGCTAAGGCTAACGTGACTGCGCGGCCACTGCGCGGGCGCACAACCCCGTTATAAGCGTCGTAGCCACCCGGCGCGGGAGGAAGAGAGAGAATCACTTGGCGTGTGTGAGTTGCGGGGGCACGTACGTAGGTATATAGTCAACCCGGGCTGAACTTTCCGTCGTGGAGCAAACGGGCCGTAAGGAGCGCGCATGAGCGACGGTTTTGGAACGCGCAGTAACACGGGGCAGATGCGAAGAGGTTGTAGCCGATTAGATACTTCCTAAGGTGAGTTGAACGTAGCTAATATATCTGCAGAATGATGCTGGTTAAGGGCGCGCTCGCGCGTGTGCGTACGTGTGCGCGTGTGTGCGTACGTGTGTGCGTGTGTACGTACGTGCACGCGTGTGTGCGTACGTGCACGCGTGCGATTGTGCGAGCGCGTGTGTGCGTACGTGTGCGCGTGAGTGCGTACGTGTACGCGTATGTGCGTACGTGTACGCGTGCGTTTAGGCGCGCGCGTATGTGCGTGCGTACGTGGAATTGCACTTATGATAGCGCGTGCGTGCGTGCGTGCACGCTGCTCTGTAGTAGTATTCAATTTTTTCTTATTATTTGCCTAAGAAGTTTGACATAGCTTGCTTGACACTTGAATATATGCGCGCCGGTGTCCTCCCTTCTATAATCTATGTGTTTCATCCCTGCCTGTTATACATTAATAAGAATTATAGTCTTTAACGCCTTCGCGTTCGTTGCATCAAAGCAGCTCAACCTGCCGATCGAAATACAATTTGATCAACTAGCTTGGATTATACACGAGTCAGGCCAGTTTAAAGAATTAATCTGTCATCCCTACCTTTGCTATTTTTCATTTCATACGCCTCTAACGCTCGAACATTTTCATTCTACTACATTACTAGCTATAATATTCCGGCAGTTTTATTTAAAATGAAACTTACATCCGGAAACCATCAATCGCTACACGCGGTTCCATCCGCACAACCGTGGTTACCGGTGCATCGAATTCATCTGAGCTCGCGCATTGGCGAGCCCAGCATAGCGTAGCTTCGAGGTGACTTTAGATAGCGTCCACGTAGTTTGTCGACAGACGGAAATATAAGCTAGATATATCGTTCGTAATGGAGATCATTTGTCACGCGGCACCGTCCGGTTGCTGCGTTGTGTTGTCAATAGTCCCGCTGGGACGTCCCTGCAATATCACTATCGCCAGGTACGTCGCTATGCGTTGCGTACGTGCGTACGTGCGTACGTGCGTGCGTGCGTGCGTGCGTGCGTGCGTGTACGTCGACATTCCCGTTGTCGCCCCTTGCACTGCCGCTGCTAACTAATCGCTCACCAAAGCATGAATGAAATGTGCTAGGTAACAACGTGAACTGCTGGTGGACCGGAGGAGGATGGGGGAAGTGTGAGGAGAGGGCGGGGGACAGGGGGAGAGGCTGGAGGCGGAGTGAAGGGATAATGGAGACAGGGGGAGGAGAAGATGGAGCAGGAGGAGGGAAGGATGGGGCAGGGGGAAGAGAGGATTGGGACAAGGTGAGGGGAAGATGGATACAGGTTAAAGGGAGGATAGGGACAGGGTAAGGGGATGATGGGGACAGGGTAAGGGTAGAATTGAGACGGGTAGGAGAGAATGGGAGCAGAGTGAAAGATGGTGGGGAGATGGTGGGGAGAGGGAGGGGCAGGGTGAGGGGAGGATGGGGAGCGGATGAGGGAAGGGTGAGACAGGGTGAGAGAAGGATAGGGACAGGGTGCGGGAGCATGGGAACATGGTGATAGGAGAATGCGGGACAGGGTGAGGGGAGAGTCGGAGACGGGGTGAAAGGAGGATAAATACATGGTGCGGGGAGTATGGGGATAGGGTGAGGGGAGAATAAGCGACGGGGTGATAAGTGGATAGGGAAAGGATGCGGGGAGTATGGAGATAGTGTTAGGGGGAAGATAAGGGGGTCGATTGCGATATATCATGGATGGTTTCGGCCATGTTCCTTCATAAATGTTTACGCGAATATAGAGATTTATCGCGCCTTTAGGGTGTTGTTTGCTCATGAATACATACGGTATCTGAACACACACAATTACACGGCTAGCGCCTCCAGATAGGATCATTCCATTAGTATTTATTACACGGCATTAACCGCTAGACACGTAATTGCGTGCATTCACGCTCGACATTACGGGTTTCTTCGCGCGAAGAAGGTGAGAAAACTCGAACGAAAACAGCGACTAATTTCAAACTGTCCGAATATAAACAAGTTCATTAATCTGGCGACGTTCGAAGTAATCACTACTAAAATTACCGGCCCGTTGAGCTTCACCGTGCGAGCGAGCGCACACATGGTTTACACAGACGTTTAGTTTGCGGTACGGAGTATTCACGTGCCTTCACATGTGTCGGCACACAGTCGCCATCGGATGCATCGAAGAGAATATCCAATCTCGTCGCATTGACTCGAGCTAGGTATTATTACCTGAGAAGATTTGCGTCGAACTGCAGAGCGCAGCCAGTGCGGCTTACGTCTAAACAAGGTGATTACCTCATTCGCGTACGTGATTTAACGTTCGCCGGTCGAGCTTTGAAGTCTCGCACTCGCCGAAACGCCCCCGTACGTCCGGTAGCGAGAACGCGAGCGGCGACGGGGGACGTTGATGATGACGACGACGACGATGCGGTCATCACCGACGAAACGTGGAAATTTGCGCACAAGTCGTTATTTTTTAGAGGGCCTTTCATATCTGGACTTGTTCGTTGTGTTGCGACATTAACTGCGGGCGGTGATGAAATGTGTTGCGGGATGATGACCAATAAGGTTTTATCTCTGGAGGCGCTGTGAGACCTAATACACTTCCGCCAACGCACGGTATATTATGGCTTATATATACGCGTCTATACGAATTAAGGAAACGTTTATATATATATATAATTTGTGTGTGTCTGTCTGTATTCTCGTTGCTAATATATTTAGAGATTAGTCTGCTCGTCGGCCATTGCTTAGCCACGACAGACAGCGAACAACGTTAAGTAAGAAATTTATGTTAGGTT